CTTCTCTAGGTTAAAGAAGCAACACCATTTTAACCTCACTAATGCTATTGGGACAATGCATTGTGACCATTAGATTGATAGTGGAGTGCATTTAATGTTAAAACCCACGATAATTTAATGGCCACAATCATTATGTCCTCAAATTTTGTCCCAATAGCATGGCTCTTTTAACATGAATCTCTTACTACTATTTCCAAGCAGAAGATGCTAAATTAACAAGTGAAAGAACACGTAAGTTTTCAAATAACTCTAATACCTGGTTTTGGGACATTGGGAAAGCAAAAAAGTTTCTTTCTTATTTGGCTGCATGCGTCATGGTGTTCATTTCTCTCTTTCAGATTTTGACTCTTTATGATTGATATTCTCTTTTTACATTTACCATAAATCTTGATTGCTAGAAGTATTTTCCACGTTTCCTCGGTTGTCATCCTCATTGTTTTATTTTGTTTCACAGGCCTAGTCCATAAAATCCATGAAACATTATTTTTAAGCTTTAGTCTTTGTGTGTTACTGTTTGGGATTGAACCATTTGCTCGACGGCTTCTCTTGACACTGATCCTAGCCCATGCTTGAATCATGTGGTTCAGCTTTTGAAAACCTCAGGTTTAGCTTGTGCCTCAATTTTGAACCAGCTTGAAAAAGCTCCATCATAACTCACATGCAGACAAGCACAACAACTCTAGTTTTAATGCCTGTTGGAATCACAGCAGTACTGGCGAAGCCATCTTAGGATTAGGGGTTGGCCCTCCCCAAGTTTCTGATACCCTTGGAACATTGATTTTTTCAATATATTCTCCCTGAAGTCTGTCATATTTTGTTTACCTCTTGATTTAGCCTGCAGTTATGAATTCCTGACTTAATCGATGAATCACAGCCTGCGATAGGGCAACGTGCATTAGTATAAAGCCAAAAGTTTATCTGTATATTGTGAGGGAGGTTAGACTTGGTTGATTCGGATTCTCTTCCATCCATTTCTTACCTATTAGGTTGCTTTGGGAACTGAATAGGATAGTAATGGGAACCCAACAATTCAATTGAGGATAACTACAGAATCTAAACCGAGAAGAATTCACTAATCCCATAAAATTCATGGTTATAGTTTCTGTTGGTACTTTTTAGCCATGAACTGGATAATTGACTCGAATTTTTTCCTAGACTCTCATATGGGATGTTAAAATCATGTGTTTTTTCTTTTCAGGGGATTGCAAGAAAACATTCAGCCGCCGTTCTAACTTCTGCAATATCCGCTTGGTCGTTTCTTCTCACAAGCATAGATGGTTGGAACCTTAGTTACAATCACTAGCAAGGGTAAAATAGACCATCATGAATATTCATCCGCATACAATACAGACGAAACTCTTCTTTTTTGTGATTGTTAGATAGCATAAGCTTAATTTGTTCTGCATTTGTTATATTGTTACTATTTACACTCAAAAATTGTTCATTGGGTTTTGCTCAAGATTTAATTTTCGAATTGGTTTTTTTTCCCATGTATGCTTGATGGATGTTGAATCAACCATGAATATTGTTAACTGACGTATTTTTTCAAATGTTTGAATTATTATGTTTCAGTAGTTATAACAGGACTTTCGCTACATGAAGATTTGATTATATATGTTATGCAATGATGAATGAGCTCATTTTCATCGTCATTTACTAAAATATTGTGATATACCTTGCATTTTTACATGGACAAATATTTGTAACTTATTTACGAGTAACGTCGTGCCTTTAGACACGGATTATGATTAGTTATGGAATATTACATAAAATGAAAGATTATGTGTACAAAAAAATTAGAGGGATACCCTTAAAAGTCTAAAATATCTCCAAGTTAATTAACAAAAAAAAAACTTGTGGATGAGTCTATGATCTACATATGCCTAGTTGGACTTGGAGAAGAATTGATCCCTCGAGAATCTAGATTACTGTTAGCAAGTCTTCGCACCCTACCAACAAAAACCAAAGAAAAACCCTAAAAGGCCAACTTTAGAGCAAGTCGAACTAAAATAACTTTGGATAAATTTCATTGACACCCCTAAATTTGAATTATATTTCATTGATATTTCCTCTGTTTTGTGAAATAAGTCAACATCCAATGGCCTCTAAGTTACCAGTCATATAAGTGAAGCGCGTCACTGCTTACACCAGCAATTTCGAAATTTTCTTTTCTTTCTATTTTCGGTGGCGGGGTTATAAATTCGAGAATGTGGGAAACGTTATTTAGACTTCAAATGTAGACTCAAAATGTTACTTGATAATCATAACTATTGAATAGGTAATAAGTATTAATAAATATTAAAATTCACTGTAAAATTAATGATTGTGATTATGAAATATACATTTTAAGTCTATTTTTTAAGTATATATAACATTACTTTGGAAAAATGATCGAACTGTTGAGTGATGACTATTTTTGACGGGTTTAACTACAGTATCGCAAAATAATTTTAGTATTGTATTATTTAACAATTTTGAAAATTTTATATNTACTTTGGAAAAATGATCGAACTGTTGAGTGATGACTATTTTTGACGGGTTTAACTACAGTATCGCAAAATAATTTTAGTATTGTATTATTTAACAATTTTGAAAATTTTATATTTATCTTTTTTATGTGACTTATTAACTTTTAAGTTGTATTCACTTTTTAATTCACTTATTTTTTTTTTTAGCAACAGGGTAATATTGTCTTCAACCAAGTCGAAAGACAGTATCATCACAACACTTGTTTTCCCAAAACTATCTATCCTTAGAAATAGGTTTTCGAATTCTCTACTTCGATAGCCTTACAACAAAAAAGCTTGCTTACCGCACTGGATTTTAGTTATTTGGTTAGAGCTTATTACTTTTTGGATGAAACTTATTAATTTTTGGGTATTTTTTCTCTATAGGATAAAATTTCGAGTCAAACACATTAAATATAATCTCACATGTATTTTATTTTATTTTATATCTAATTTAATTTGTATAAATATTAATTTTTCAAGATTTTCAATATGATAACGAAATTTATATTGGTGTAGATTTTTCTGAAGGGCTAATGTCATTTTGCACCCCTGAAAGATGATTTGATTCTCAATTTTGACTACTGTTCAGTTTTTAATCATAAATTAAAACACGTGAGTTGCAACTTGCAAGTGCTTCGACTATGGGCTTATGTATAAATTCACAGAGAGTTGGCACCTCATGTGAGTTGCACATGATAGACTTTAGCTTTTATTTGATTAACAAAACCTTATTTTCGATATATAAAATGATGTCGAATTGATCGCAGACGAAGATCTACAATGATAGACACACCTCATCCTCATGCCCAAAGTACTTACAACTCATGCGCTTCAATTCATGACAAAAAATTGAACGATAGTTTGGACGAGGTCGACATTGTTATCAATTCATAACATTGAGGATGCAAATTGAGATTTTTAATGTTTGAGGGTATAAACTGAGAATTGAAGTATCTTTTGGAGTGCAAAATAAGATTAGCCCTTTCTTTAATATATGAAAACTCTAGGTAATATATTTTTGTCACAAACTCGTTCATGGAACCACAATTCCATTTGAATTGGGTCAAAATCTTTTAATTTATTTGTTATTATAATGTATTAAATTGGATAACAATTATTGAAGTTATTTACGAAGTACAAGATAATATCATGCGCATTGTTCTTAATAAAGAGGAGTTGACATCCTCAGGACTACCCAATTTAGAATATTGAGGGACGGGCTCCCTAATCCTGACTTCTTTCTCTTGAACTAGGCTAACTAAAAGAGAGGTACAATATATATTATCAACTCATGAATTTCATCGTAAGCTTCTTTTTTTCTCCTGGGGGGTACAACTCAACAGGCTGGGCCCAAATTCGATCCTGGCCCAACTTTTGATCTTGGCCCATGAGCTCGTGAGTCCTGCTAAAGTTAGATTTTGTTTAACCTCTGCCCAATATCTAATCCGGGCTATGTGAGTTGGCTTGTTAATGAATTGGATTTTGATCCGAATTTGATTTAAATTTAATTAGTCAGATATGAATTGATATATTTTTTTTTACTAATAATTCGAACTTGAATCTCATACTTTCACGGATTCGGTTTAAATATACCTAACAGATTTGGATATGAACTACAAATAAATTTAAATTTGGGTCAATTAAAATCTGACCCAAACTCAATCTATTGACAAACGTATCTTTGAGAACTTCAATCCATGTTAACATATACGCAAGCTAAGAAACAAAGCTCTTTATAATAAGATAATGAAGTGTGTGAGTAGGACTGCATCGTTGAAGGCTTATTATGATCAATATTTGTATTGAAGGATACCGTACATAGAAGTGATGTCACCCTTTAATTTAGTAAGATATATAAAAAAATCTCACAAGATGAACAATTTCCCAAGAAGAGCTTAAAAAAAAAAACCTCTCATATTTCCTTTTTATTTTTTGAAATTTTGAATTATTAAATATAAGAAAATTAATTTAACACATTCACATGAATTTTCAATCATGCGAAGGTATAGGTGGAGTGGGGTAGATCATATAAAACCTAAACAAACAAAAACAAAGGTATCATACCTGATAGATACCATAATCTTAGCTTAGCATCAACCTTGAATTATAATATTTACAATCTTACAGAAGACCATGCCAACCCAAACCGATTCACAACCAAGCATGTCTTGTGCTAACTGAGTTCAAATACAGCCGCCACCAATAAAATCTGAAGCAAAAGAAAAAAAACACACCCTCAATGGTTGTCTTTTTTTGGCATTACCGTCAGAAAAATAAATAAATAAATAAAATCAATTAAAATATATATATAATATAATTTATTTATATATCAATTATACACAATATAAATTCAATATAAATCGATTTATTAAATATAAATTAATAAAAAAATTAGATATTAATAAAACATTTCTTAATATAAACTCATTAAAGTCAACTACCAATCCGTTTCACCCGTACGAAAACTCCAAACAACAAAACCTGAAAGAAAAGAGTGAAACAAAACGACAATCTTTGGGAGGCCAACTTAATAGTTAACGACTCCTGATTTCAACAGCGCCTCCACCGACGTCGTCTCCTTTCTCTTCCACCTCCAAAAAACCTCCTCCTCCACTCTCTCTCTCTCTCTCATGATTTACTCGTCGTCGTCAGAGCAATCACTGTAATTAAGATGAAGGAGAGAACATGGCCGTCCCGATCGGACGGCTCTATATTCACCGCCCTTCCGTTCATCAACAAACAAAACCTCCCCGATAAGCACACTTCCACAAAATCACCGACCACCGCAATCCGCCGAAGTTACAAATTCACCTCAAAATCATCGCCATCGTCGTCGAAATCAACGTTTTCCGACCACCGTGATTTCTCCACACTTCCATTCGACGTGTTATTGAAAATCGCGGCGACTTTTACGCTGCCGAACCTCCGGGCAGCGTCGCTGGTGTGTAAGTCGTGGGGGGACGCTTTGAGACCGCTTCGAGATGCCATGCTGTTCCTCAGGTGGGGTAAGATGTTCAAGCACGGCCGTGGCGGTGTCAAACCTAATCTCCACAAGGCATTGGACTCGTTTCTGAAAGGAGCGGCGCGTGGATCCACGCTCGCTATGGTCGACGCCGGTCTGATTTATTGGGAGATGGGAAAGAAGGAAGAAGGTATTGCTCTTTATGGGAAGGCAGCTGAGCTCGGTGACCCGGCTGGGCAGTGCAATTTGGGGATTTCATACTTGCAAGGTATACTTATTTTGATTATTATTGCTCTAATCATGGTATATTTTTTATTTGATTAAGCTGTAATTGTAGTTCTAATTGAGCTGAATCCTTTAGATATTGGATTTCTTCATGGCAAGGCAATTATAAAATTTGTTTTACAGTGAACTAATTGATTCAAATCTATGATCAGGCCTTCTGGTCATCATGTAATAGAGTTCTTCGAATTATAATTGAGGAAAAATAAAAATTTTCCCCAATTCTGCTTGCATGGCCGAATTTTCATGCTTAGGAAGGTAAAGCAGTAATTTAGAAATAAGATGACAGTGATTCTGACTCTAACCCAAGTTGATCCAACTTATCTTGCGTGATTTCACTTAGTGATTGGCTATTGGGGCCCTTTTGGGGGGGGGGGGGCGGAAGAAAATTTTGATTCTGTGAGATAAAATTGCATTTTGGGTGTGTGTGCGCTTATTGGATGTTATAATGTATGCAGCTGAACCTCCGAACATGAAGGAGGCTGTTAAATGGTTGTTTCAAGCTTCTGTTGCTGGATTTGTTCGTGCTCAGTACCAACTTGCCTTGTGCTTACATCAAGGTCGTGGAGCAAATCGAAATTTGCCAGAAGCGGTATGTAGTTTTTGCATGATCCTTCTCCTTCACTTCTCAATTGTACTTGGACTTTATTGTTCTGGGGACTTATTGTGTAGTCATGCAACCATGTTGATTTGCTTATCAAAAATTGCCATTTTAAATATCAACTTCTGTAATAAGGCATATCAGATCTTCCAACATTAACCCATTGGCGTGACCTACTTTGTTGGTGGGTTATTGATGCATCCCAATTTTGGCTATCCTCGTAGTTGAGCTAATTGCAGTAAATGATCTAGCTGACACTATGTTGAGATGTGCGGCTTTTTGAGTGAGATGAGGAGCCACTGTTCGTTTGACCTAGCATGCAATAGAAACTTTCCTTCTGATGGAGTTTGTTTAACAGGCTAGATGGTATCTGAGAGCTGCAGAAGGTGGGTATGTACGTGCTATGTATAATACTTCATTGTGTTACTCGTTCGGTGATGGTTTGGGGCAGAGTCATCGACTTGCGAGAAAATGGATGAAGCGGGCGGCTGATCGTGGGCACAGTAAAGCACAGTTCGAGCATGGACTTGGTCTCTTTGCTGTACGTATTCACAAACTACCTAACTCCCTTTCTGATTATTTAAATACAGATGATAACGGTGTGTATGCAGTATGCGGCTAGATGTAGCTCCATATTCTTTATAGGGGAAAGGTGGACTTTTTTAATTTGTCTTGTTAAATCAATTTGCACATCATATAATCAATTGATTAAGGTTCATGGATTTGTGTAGCAACTGATGGAGTGTCTTTCGATTATTGGAACAGGAGGGGGATATGATGAAGGCTGTAGTTTACCTGGAGCTTGCCACCAGAGCTGGTGAAACGGCAGCAGCTCATGTAAAAAATGTTATACTTCAGCAGCTGTCTGCTCCTTCGGCAGATAAAGCCATTCTTCTTGCGGACAATTGGCATACTTTGCATTCTCACTGACTTGTAAAAACCCATGGTGTTTATATCCTCATAGGTTCTCCCCTACGCCTCTTTATTCCCGGATGCCTTGTTTTCACTCGTGTGTGATTTACGCTCTGTGTCTCTTGTGAATGAGTAAAAATTTATGTGAAATAATAGGTATTGCGTACAATGTAATGATTAGTCAACCCTTCGTAGTTGGATAAAGGCTTTTTTGAGATGAGCTTACAATGTAATGATGGTTGACCATCTTTGATGGCCTCTCAAATGTATCTTGCTCAGCAAATGTAACATTAGAGCCTTAAATGCTGCAAACATGATGTAATTTAGGTTCATTTCTATCTTAAGTTGGGCTATGAAATTGCCTGGAATCTGACACCTACTCCTTACTATATATGTCAAAACATCGTCTACTGAAGAACATTAGATTAACATATGGTTCTATGTTCCCGATAACAGCTTGCAGTTTTCCAACGTAGACGCACAACAAATTGCTTCTTTCAAATGGTATTAGGATGGCAGTGGGATGGATCCAAGACTTTTGCCAATGTGCATAAAGTCGGGAATTGAATAATTTTGTACTAGTGTGTTGTTAAAAACACTTTTTTGAAGGTTTTTTTAATTTTCAGTCACATTATAGATTATGCTTTTGGAAAGACAGTTTGGTATCAGTCAATATATGCAATCTAATTGATATGTTGCTAAAAGTATTGTATCGAATGATGCAAGACGAATAAGGTTTTGTAGAAGTTCAATAAAATTGTACAGTAACACATAACTAATATGCTAATTAGAAAAAACTTGAAGAAAATTAATGAAGAGAGTACATTGAAAGACGATCCACAGCATGGGGGGATCATGGAGACTTGCTTTGGTGTAAGAGTGACATTGTTAAAATTCAAAAGGATGCTTCATTCTTAGGGATACCATATATAGTCGGTCATGTTCTTTCACCCTTGCATCATGACCAGTGGTCTATCTGTAGCTACTCAACAAATCCTTCTATTATGTGGTCAATGCAGATAAATCTTTCTATTACTCATAGGGTATTCAATGCATANATCTGTAGCTACTCAACAAATCCTTCTATTATGTGGTCAATGCAGATAAATCTTTCTGTTACTCATAGGGTATTCAATGCATACAAAATTTCAGATGCTTCATTTTAAACTGTGACTGTTAACTGAACCGAGTTTTATGAACTCAAGTATGTCTCGATTGTTTGTTAGTGACCGAGCTTGAATATTTGAGCCTAATTTTAGTCGATACTGTACTTAATTTTTCAGCAAAAATATTCGATATTATAGCTTACAACCGAATAATTAATAATACAATAATTAACTTTTAAACAAAAATCTCTGAAATTTGTATTAACAACCATCAAACCAAACTCTCAAAACATAAATTACTAAAAATCTATTGGAAATGCGCAATAGAGAGAAATCTTTAGGATATGAAGCTATGTGGATTTAAGGTTGATATTGTTCATCCTTATAAAAGATTTATGGACAATGTATTAAAAGTATTTACAGACAGGAATCTATTCAAGCAATACTGGATCCACAAAGCTCACTGAAAAACTATCTAAGCATAATACTGCCTTTGAGGAAGAAGAACACCTGAATGATATACGTTGAGGCTATACATTGCCTTGGTCAGCAATTCTCTCAACTCAGGATGGTGGGCAGACACCGTACGTTCTGCCCCCTCAAGAACAGTCAACACTCGTGCTTGTTCCAAATCTTCACTATTGCCAGCATGTAATGCGAGGTAGCAGAGGAGAATCAATGCCTGAATCTTCGTCCTTTCAGTACTCCTCAACAGTCTCATCAATGGCGGAACACAATAAAACTCAATTATCGTCTTCGAATGCTCCACACAAAGAAAATTCTCTGGGCAAGCCAACTTCCCCAGAGAAATTGCAGCTTCTGCTGCAACATCTTGGTTCCTATGACCAAGCTTCTCCACCAGAGGGCCGATCAGCCGTGTCTCTCTCGCCGGAAAAGTTCTAGCCAATGACCCAATTGACCTTATTGCCGGAATTTGAAACGATGGGTTATCTGATTCTTTGACCACCCTCAGGAGTTGCTCCACCACCGCTTTGGCAGCCGGAGAATTGGTTTTGAATGCTGCTCGTCTAAGATCAGAATTAGACTCCGCAGCGGCGGTTATCTCCATGACCGTCATCAAGCAATTAATTTGCAACTCTCCTTGTTCCTTCTCAACAAGCTTAGCCAAACAAAGCAACCCTTTGGTCTCTGTTATTTTCCTACTATTAGAAACACTACTCTTAGAAAGCCTCCACAGAGCCTCTGCACAACTAATCTTCAATTGCAGCTTCATTTCCGGCTTCTCATTTTCTCTCTCCCTCCGGTAATTCCCACCCCTACTACTCCCCTCCGAATAATTATGCATCGACAAAGATGAAGAAGATGGAGACGAAGACGAAGAGGAAGACAAACCCAGCCTACTCTTAAATGACATTAACGAATTCTTTTCCATTTCCTTATTAATCTCAACAATTGAATGTATGCTTTGCTTACCAGTTCGATGCTGAAGCTTCAGATAATGGTCCACAAAAATGTCTAACGACAATAGCGTCACGAGTGGCCTAATCACATTCTCTCTCGAGAAATCCTCTTGAGCAAGTGAGTCATGCTCAGCCATCCTTGCCACCAAATTCGCTACACAAACCTGAACCCTCATAGGTGAATCCCCAAGAACAGTGACAATTATTGGAACTCCACGTTCAATGATGATTGATCGAACCCTTTCTTGATGGTTGGCCAAGTGAAAAAGCGCGGTGGTCGCGGCAATTTGGGCTTCTGGAGATGAATTTTCCTTCAAGAGCTTTAACAATGGGGGAATTCCACCCTCTTCGACGATGATTTTCTTGTTTCGATCGTTGTCTTGGGCTAGTGAGGCTAATTCATCGGCGGAGTCGATTTTAACATTCAGTTGTCCCAAATGTACCGAAGCGATGAAAGACCAAACCCATGACAATATCGGATCATTACTAGCAATTGGGGGTAGAGCGAGATTGATTCCGCCATTGTAGCTGTCGGAGTCGAAAACACTGAGCAACCACTTCATGTCACCGATTGACGACTCAAGGAGACTGATCACTTTACGAAAATCGGCGACGGAGACGATGGTGAAGACGCGGCGTAGGATACTCCGCCGCTTGCATTTCAGAACTAGGGTTTGCGCTCGGTTGAGGTTCTTGGATACTTCAGTGACGATCCGATGAACTGGTCGTTCGTAGACTGAACAGCTGGACCTAGAAAACCCGACGGCCGATCGGAGCATAGCGCATAGGCGGTCGGCTTGTTTGCCAACCTCGCAGCACTCGAACTTAAAGGAACTGGCCACGTCGGCGGCTTGTTTGATTTGCTCCGATAACAGAATCTGAAAGGATAACAATTGATCGATTCGCTTCTCTTGGATTGCTGCCATTGAAATGGAAGAAACCTCGACGGATCAGAAGTTTTAGGGTTTGATCGGAAGAGGAGTGGGGTACAACATAGTCATCGTTGAGACGCGTTGTATGGTATGGTATGGTATGGTCTGCTTCGACTTTTCAAGGGTTTGTTGGAAGCGGAGTAATATAGGGGTGGGAGTANAGAGGAGTGGGGTACAACATAGTCATCGTTGAGACGCGTTGTATGGTATGGTATGGTCTGCTTCGACTTTTCAAGGGTTTGTTGGAAGCGGAGTAATATAGGGGTGGGAGTGTAGTTTCATTCTCTCCTCAACCTCATCGATTGTTCTTTGTTGGTGTTTGTTTGGGAATCTTCGAAATCGCGTTTTTTATTTTTTAAGGCGCGTGGTTTTTTTTTTTGAACTATAAGAAACCGAATCATACTCATCACGGTTAATAGAAAGAATACGTCTTAACTCTGCTGGGTGGGTTAAAAACTCAGCCTTCCAGAAGTGAAAAAGACAGTCTCGGCCATCCGAGGCGCGTGGGTTTCGATAAGGGACTTGANAACTCAGCCTTCCAGAAGTGAAAAAGACAGTCTCGGCCATCCGAGGCGCGTGGGTTTTGATAAGGGACTTGAGAGAGAGAGAGTCAGAGTAGTTGTTGACCACAACAGCAGTTTTATGTAGTAAACCTTGGTTGACAAGTTAACGTTTATTTATGAGTCAAGTATTTATGTTTTGTGTCAAAATACTAACCATGGAATCTTAATCAACGTGGCACTTTTAATCACCGTTAAAAAATTCCNACAGCAGTTTTATGTAGTAAACCTTGGTTGACAAGTTAACGTTTATTTATGAGTCAACTATTTATGTTTTGTGTCAAAATACTAACCATGGAATCTTATTCAACGCGGCGCTTTTTAATCACCGTTAAAAAATTCTNTAAACCTTGGTTGACAAGTTAACGTTTATTTATGAGTCAAGTATTTATGTTTTGTGTCAAAATACTAACCATGGAATCTTAATCAACGTGGCACTTTTAATCACCGTTAAAAAATTCCTTACTTGCTTGTCATGTGACTCAAATATTAAACTATAGTTTAAGGGTCACGATTAATGCACATAAAAATTTTCGTTAAAGTTAACGATAAATTTAGATAAAAGGCTCAGGTAGAGTCAGATTATATAATGTACGAGTTAAATTAACACAAAATATAATTTAAGAACTTGATTGACACAAATAATATAATTGAGAGACTAAATTAACTATTTTATGGTGTTGATGGAACCTAAGTAGACATTTTTTTTTTGTTCAACGGTAAGGTTGTTCANTAAAGTTAACGATAAATTTAGATAAAAGGCTCAGGTAGAGTCAGATTATATAATGTAGGAGTTAAATTAACACAAAATATAATTTAAGGACTTGATTGACACAAATAATATAATTGAGAGATTAAATTAACTATTTTATGGTGTTGATGGAGTCTAAGTAGACACTTTTCTTTTGTTCAATGGTCAAGGTTGTTCGGATTAGTTTACGCGTATCTTAACTAATCTCTTTTCTGATTCGGTCAAAGACAAATCATTCACGTCAAGACTAAAGAATTCATGAGAGACCTAATCCGAAGGAATTATCAAGATTTGAATTCAGGATGTTTGATTTTATAACTCGTCTCTATTACCAGTTGAACTACNACGCGTATCTTAACTAATCTCTTTTCTGATTCGGTCAAAGACAAATCATTCACGTCAAGACTAAAGAATTCATGAGAGACCTAATCCGAAGGAATTATTAAGATTTGAATTCAGGATGTTTGATTTTATAACTCGTCTTTATTACCAGTTGAACTACTTTTTGAGATTTCAAGTAAACACTTTTGTATCCCAAATTGGAATGGCGAATGAGTAGGGTGGATCTTTCCAATAAGTCGCAGTTGGATGATTATGCAATCCATCTCCTCTTTAGTGCAAATCGTTNGAATTCAGGATGTTTGATTTTATAACTCGTCTTTATTACCAGTTGAACTATTTTTTGAGATTTCAAGTAAACACTTTTGTATCCCAAATTGGAATGGCGAATGAGTAGGGTGGATCTTTCCAATAAGTCGCAGTTGGATGATCATGCAATCCATCTCCTCTTTAGTGCAAATCTTTGGGGAAAGAGGTTTGTTTTGTTATCCGATGCATCATGATTTGTAATGCTGAGTATGAATGCATATAGAAACTTGATCTAATCCCACAGATATGTTCACTTGTTGTTTCTTCACATGTGAAATATATATTGTGATTGTCCTGCTACGTCTAATGCTGAAACTCTCAGAATTGTTCAATGTTTATATAATCTGTAAACATGTCAAAAGCGACTCTTTGTAGAAGTTTCAGTAGATTTACTTATCGTTTATTTTTTTGTAAATGACATCTTTGTATTTAGTTTAGATGCGTGTCAAAATAATAAATTTTGGGTGTAAAATTAATTTATGCATCATTAGTACCTAAAACCTCTTAAACTTTATATTCATCATTTTTGAAATCGGAAAAAATTACCACCTGAGTTACTACTATATGTTACATATTCTGCAGGTTAAGCATCTCTTGCAATAATAATTTTTGAAACTATGCCACTTGTCATTTATTGGGTGAAGTTCATTAACTTTTTGATGTGCGTTTATTTTTTGGGTTCACTTACCGCTTGATTAAGTAAAATTTATCATTTTTAGAGTGTTTTTAACTTTTTTCAAATTTTGCTTTTCCATATTGTAATGTTTTCTTAATGTATAGGGTAAAATAGAAAAAGCCAACATAAAGATAAAAGAGTTCGCAATGTGGAACTAAAAGTCAAAAAATTGCTTAGCGTTCTTCTTCTTACCTTAAAAGAATAGCATCTTCTTAATCAATGAACAGTGAATCTCAAGTTTAGGATTCCAATCATTAAGGGCTGTAGCTAAGGAGATGCAACATCAAAGATTACAATTAATCCCGCCTCGTCATCCATCCTCCCACCTAATGTTTCAAATTTTATTTTTTTTTAAACGATCGAGAATGTCTGAGTTAATTTACATATATTTTAATTAATTTAGACTATTCTGAATATCCTCGAAAATGCTTAACTTTGAGTATTAATTTAGACTAATCTAAATATTCTCGAAGATGCTTCACTTCGAGTTCTCGGAGGGACAGCTTTGTAAACAAGGGTCCCTTACTCTATTACTTTTCAACTTCGTTGGTCTGATAAGAAGTGACAGAAGAAAGCTACGGGCATATACACCCGCCCAGGGGGAACAGGTGCCACCTCAACAGCTATATTCTAAATCGTTAAGCCTCGCAACCCTTGTTTTTTTGTATATAAAGAATAATAAAATTGTTATATATTATTTTCAAAATACAAAAATTCACCCAAATCAATCCTAAATTTTTTTATTTGTGTCCATCTTGACACAATTTTCTGCCTCCGCCCCGACTCTACTTGACTGTGTCTATTAGTAAAATATTAAAATTTTCTCCCAGTTCATTGGAGAAATGAAAGGGGAGAGACCTGTTGAATATGATCTGAAATTATTTTAGGATAAATTTATAATTATTTATAACCAAAAATCTATTTGAAACAAGTCTATTCTAAGTGGAGTCACACGTTACTTGACACTTTCATCAGACTAACTAAGAAATTTGATCAAACTTGGATCATTTTGAAATTTGAATACAACAAAGGAAACAGACAAATGAAGTAACATAAACCTTTCTTGTTTAATTAGGGAAAACGTAATATGCAAACAGATTGTAATTCTCAGCAACAATGCCAAAACGTTAATAGCACTTGTCTTCCATCGTTTAGTTCAGAATAAACCTAAACCATGAGATTTCACAACACAAAAAGCTGATATCGCAGTTCATTGTTCAAGTAGTCCTTCAATGAATTGGAGACAATGGCATTCTACAAGGCACCCACAAAAGTTTAGACTCATATCCAACAATGTCTCTCAAAGCTTTGCAATCAACCCATTCTGGTATGACTTTGTGACCATCCCAGTTTCCTTCAGATGTGAATCACATGAGCTGGGAGGGACATCCACCGCCGGTGAGCAATTGAAGAATCCATGTGGCTGCATGACCGACAGCAGAACATAACAGAATGAAGAACAGTCAATTCTCTTCAATTGGAAAAATATATTATAATGGACAGAAGTTTATTAGTAACATAAACTGAAAGCTACATTGCATTCACGAGGATGTCGACAACCACAACGGCAGTAAAAGAGCAGTAAGATGCTAATGATGACAGTAATCCAAACAATATAAGTTTAAAATGATGAATGGGGAATACCATGAGCATGAAACCAATGCGTTCCACTGGCATGACCGGCCAGTCTTCCAGTCGAGGAACATGTGTAATTCCAAAAACATACCTGCAAAAATTTGATTCTATAATCAAGATCCCAATGAAGTTACATCCACATGAACCTTTTCTCAACGTCTAATAACTCAGATTGCATTTCTTCTCTCATTTTCTCCCTTCATTTTTCCCTTGCTAACAATTGATGAAATAGCACGAATCTGTCAATTGTTACAACAGGACAACCTTTCTTGTTTCTACAAGTCATGTAATGCATGATTGAAATGGCTCAGATCATAAAAAATGAACGGTTCACCCACGGAAACCAGTACAATTTATTGGAGGTAATTTTGATCTGAAGTGAATCGAATCACCCTGTTCTGTTTACTCAGACTTGGCTGGTTTATTTGGCAACAAATTCACCAATAAAGACACCAAGAAACTTCAAATAAGATTAGTTTTCATAAAGGTTCTAGAAATGATTCCACTTTCAAATGCTAGGTAAATCAAAATGAGCACACTAAAGAAAAGTGGATTAATCTCCACCTAATTTAAATTCATGCATATGGGATTTGGTTACCAAAGAAAATGAAGAACTTTAGTAGTCCATCTTTAGTGCAAAAGACCGATATTCCGCAGCGATTATTTTTGTAATATAGAAGAGTCTGTTATTCTATAGCAGTATGTTTCCCTTGCTTCCACCATTTTATCTGCAGAAAGGATAGCCCACTAGTGTATCCATATTGTTCACATCCCCCCCCCCCAAAAAAAAAAAAAAAACCCTTTCTTCCCTACCTAGGCCATAA